ACGTTACTGTGTCCTTGAGTAAGGGTATTTGGTAAAGGTCTGTAGACCAACAAGGACGGTTTTGTAAGTTTGATAAAAAATAATGTTTGGCAATTGAAACTTGAGTGTAGCCAGTAGTTACTTTTCCATCTAGAAAACAACTAACAAAAAAATCTGTTTAGTAAGCAGAAGAGATTTGTGGCAGAAGAAGCATCAAAGCAGGATTAATGCGGTGGAAATGAGAGCCCTGAAAAGTATTTGTGGACTAAAATTGACTGATCGAGTGAAAAATAGTGATATTACAAAAAAATGTGGATTGAAAGATGATGTAGTGTCAAGGATTGAAAAGGGAATGTTACGCTGGTTTGGACATGTAGAAAGGTTGGATGAAAGTAAAGTAACGAAAGAAGTATACAGAACGGGTATGAAGGGGGCCGTCGGTAGAGGGCGCCCTAGACGGACATATAGTGTCCAGATTGGCGATATATTAAAGAAGGGTCCAATTAAAAGTACCCTTAACCGACGAGCATGCATAAAAAGATTGATGACTGTTGATGAAACAAAAGAGGTATGTAGTAATCGTAGTAATTGGCGTTCCCTAGTCTCTGCCTACCCTCATGGGAGACAAGCGTGAAGTTATGTATGTATGTACATACATCAACAGCTTATTAATGCCCACTGCTGAACAAAGCCTCTTCTCACATGCGGCATTAATCACCATGCTTGCTTAATGCGAAATCGCTAACCCGCAGTTAGCGATTTCAGACTTATAATTAGATATTATAAGACTAGGGTTTCCTTACGATGTATTCCTTCACCATTCGTCAGTGGTGTCTGAATAATCTTAGAAAGTACACATAACTCGGAAAAAGTCACAGTGATACTTTGCCGTTGGCAGGTTTCGAACCTGCACTTTATGCATGAGAAGCGGGTGTCTTAAATTCTCCAGGCCACAACGACATCTGAAGATTACTAAGTAAAAATTACACGAAAATTGATTGGTATAAAATTAACTAAAAATGACTGTTTATTCAAAATACTCGGTATATAATTCTATTGAAATCAAAGACAAGGCTTAATATTATCAAAACAAAAATATGTTTTTATAATAACTATCATGATACATACTAAATTAACTAAAAATCGCGGGTTACTCACGTCAATATACTGAGAAATTCTCTACTAGTTTCGAACCATAGAGGGGTTCTTCCTCATGAGTAGGCTGCGCCACATCGCCGCGACCGCGCACGCTGCTCATGAGGAAGAACCCCTTTGTAACCCGCGATTTTTAATTAAGTTCGTTCATCATCATAATCAGCCCGTATTCGTCCACTGCTGGACATAGGCCTCTCCAATGGCACGCCACTGAGCTCGGTCTTCAGCTCTTCTTATCCAACCACTGCCAGCCACCTTGCGGATGTCGTCACTGGAGGGCGCCCTATAGTGCGTTTGCCTAGACGCGGTCTCCAATCTAGAACACGTTTACCAGCGGTTCTCGGTTCTTCGACAAATGAGACCGGCCCACTGCTACTTCAGCTTACTGATCCTTAATTAAGTTCGTTGAATTGATCCCTGATTAAGTTCGTTAGAACAAAAATATTTTACGACATGTTTAGTTTACATGATGACAGATATTTTATAACAAATATGTTAATTATAGTGTTAACAATTAAGTTCAAGAATTTCTTGATAAAAACTATAACCAGTTTCGTTGATACTGAATCATGATGAATTGCGATTTTATATAGGAACTACTATTTATGTTACAAAACGTACCAATTGAGGAAGACACTCGAGTTATATATACAATTATTATACATATGTCTTGACACAATTCAGTACCGCTTGAGCTGCGAATAGTGATGCACGGTGGTTTAATGTGAGACCAAAATAAATGTGATTGAGAATTGTATTTTTAGTGTAATCGTGAGAATTATTTTTTGGTATATTGTTTATTGTAAATGTAAGTATGTTTTGAATTTAAAGTGTAGTTTTCATAGTTTTATAGAAGATAATTTTTATTTTGATAAAGTGTCAAATTGTTGGAGCTTGTTCGTGTATTTTATTTATTTATTATTGATTATTATTTATATATTGATTATCATTAAACATACAATGGTTGTAAGTCCGGTCATGATAATCAGTCTAATTATTATTTAATTCACATTCAAAATTATGCGCACGCGTTTAATATAGGTATGTGATGTAACAATAATGATGATTATGGCACAATAATATTAGTTACGTGTAATTATTAATATTTGGCACAATAATATTAGGTACAAGTAATTATTAACATTATTTTGAAATTAAATTAATTAAAAACAATTCATACTGATCTTAAAGATTTCGTGAAACAAGTTATGAAAATAGTAAATACTGATAAAAAAAATTTGGTAAGAGCAAGCTTAGTTATATTTTGTTATTTTGAGTCGAGTGTCAGAAACACCAAAATCTTTAACCTGTAAAAAATAAGTTGTTGTGTCTTGATTCTAGATGGCGTTACTTTGCGATTGCTATTTGCGACTACGATACTTATATCGTACAACCCAAAAATAACTGTACTAAACAGTTGTTAATTTTTCAAGGTGGCAAGTGTTTTTGTTTCACTGATAACAATGTTAGTATAGTAATTTGTGTATATGTATCAATGTTTGCCAAAAAATTTAAGCGCTTGATCCCCAGCTTAAGTAAATTTTTTATGCTTTATTAGATAAATAAAATGTTTTTCTAGTCTCTTAGCTATCAGATGGGACCCAATAGGTCTGATGACGATACGGAGCCGCGGTGAACCTGACGGATTTTAGAAAAGTGTTGATTACACTTGAGAAGGTTTTAGTATATTAATTACCCGACTTAAAAAAGATGAGGTTGAAGTCGCTTTTTTAAACGTACCTAGATAATAACAGATTTATAAACATAACATAACATCACGTCTTTTATCCCCTAAAGGGTAGGCAGAGGTGCACATTACGGCACTTAATTAACAATGTAAAACCCACTTTTCACTATTTATGTTATGAGTCCCATGTATTAGGGGGTGAGCTGCCTAATGCCACATTTCCCGACTCTGTGATACTACTGAGGTTTTTAAAAACCCAGTAATACTTTGCTCGACGCCAGAATAGAACCCAAGACCCACCACCGGCCCACCAAATAAAACCTGCAAGTAACTAACTGCGACTGCACAGTTGGTATGGTGGCTGGGCAACCGGCTGCCGTGCAACATGTCGCGGGTTCGATTCCCGCTCGGAACAGCACTTTGTGTGATCCACAAATTGTTGTTTCGGGTCTTGATGTCATTGTGTATGTGAACTTGTATGTTTGTAAACGAACCCACGACACAGAAGAAAATCCTAATGTGGGGCAATGTTTTTTTCAAAAAAAAAAAACTTATGTATATTTTGTATTTCTCAGCCAAGTCAATGTAAATTGTTTTTGAGAAATTAAACCTTAAATCTTTAACCGTAAATAGAGCCCTAATGTTCAATCGTTATGTTGTGTTATTTAATTACTAGCTTTTACCCGCGGCTTCGCTCGCGTCACAAAAGGATAAAAAGTAGCCTATATGACATATACCAATACATACAGCGCCATCTATACCAATAATTTCATTTTCCCTCGAGAGTATAAATTTTTTTCTGGATAAAAAGTACCCTATTATTTAATCCAGACTTCTAACTTTACATCTGCAAAAATTCAAAGCAATCGGTTTAGTAGTTACGGCGTGAAAGCGGAACAAACAAACAAACAAACACACTTTTCGATTTATAATATTAGTAAGGATTCTCTGTTTGACGTAATCTGTTGCCAGTAGCACAGATTTCAAGAGCGTTTTATTATTAGTTGCGAAGGCCAAATTTGTTGTGATAGAGTTATTTAAACGATTTCGTGCTTCGAATTCGTAAACAATTGTTTTAGACTAACTATAAATTAGTTACGTATAGTTTGTTGAAATGTTAGGTACATAATTATTGTGCGGACAGTATTTGAATTTAAGATATTTTTGTTATATACGTCCGTTTTAGATCGATTTAGAAATATGTGATTAAAATCGATGACTAATTTACGGTCGCAAAATAACTAACTATCAGTTTTATTGATCAATATAAATCATAGATTGAGGAGATACATAACATCACAGTAGGCAGAGGTGCACACAGAAGTAGAGGTAACACCCACTTTTCACTATTTATGTTATGAGTCCTATGTAATAGGGGGTGAGCCTATTGCCATATACCGGGCACATTTCCAGACTCCGTGCTACTACTGAGAATTTTTAAAAACCCTAGTAATACTTTGCCCGCCCCGGGAATCGAACCCGAGACCCCTTGCCCGGTAGTCGCACTTACGACCACTCGGCCAACGAGGCAGTCGTTTTAATTTGTTTTAATATGATGTTAAGTCATAGTACCTCTTAAGGTTAAAAATTACGTCACTTTTTTTAAACCGGTTCGTGAGATTGATACAACTCATCGTCATCATTATCAGTCCGTTTTTGTCCAGTGTTGGATATTGGACTCTCTAATTACACGATTTAGAGCTCAATCCTGCAACACAATTTCCAACTTGAATAAAAAAAACAAAATCGGTGTTCTAATTTTAGAATCACCGAACTCGTCATTAATTGCCGGACTCGGGATCATTTAATGCTTATTTAACTAACTCGTTAATAATTGTTTTTTGAAAAAAATTTAATAGTGTGCCTCGTTGGCTGAGTGGTCGCAAGTGCAAGGGCAAAGGGTCTCGGGTTCGATTCCCGGGTCGGGTTTTTAAAAATATTTTCAGTAGTAGCACGAAGTCTGGAATTGGGGTACATGGCAATAGGCTCACCCCCTTTTACATGGGGCTCATAACATAAATAGTGAAAAGTGGGTGTTATATTGTATAGTGGTATTAAGGGTTGTAAATGTGCACCTCTACCTACCCCTTCGGGAATAAAAGGTGTGAGGTTATGATATTATATTAAATGCAGAAACCTTAAAGAAAACCTGTTTAACTAAACCTTCTTTTCGTTACAGATGAAGTACAAAATAGTTACCAGTATTTTTTTACTAAGTCTATTGGTATCAAGTGAGGCCCTAAGGATTCTAGTATGTTATCCTATGACCTCCAAGAGCCACAGCATTCTAGGCCATGGCATCGTCAATCGACTGCTGGAAGCTGGACATGAGGTATTGAACTTTAAAATAATGTGCATAAAATATAATTTTACACTTATATATATCCTATAAAAAAAAGTTGTCATTAATTTGTCATCAACTTGTTATGTCATTAATTGCATACAGAAAGAAAGAAAGAAATATAGTTTATTTTTTACACCGTCACAAAGCACAATAATATAGAAAAGAAAAAAAAAATAAAACGGTAAAGGTGAAAAGTTAACATAAAGATGGTCACGTTTTTGTCGATTAAAATTTCAATAACTGAAAACACAGCAATACTTAAGTCGACAACAAAATCAAACCCATGACCAGAATTTATCAATTGCACTTTGTAACTACAATATGATCAATAAGCCAGTTCTTAAAAAGTGTTTTTTTTTAATATTTCAGGTAGTTCATATAACATCGTTTCCTAATGGCAAAGTGCTACCAAATCTCACTGAAGTCAATGTATCATCTATAGCTGAAGTATTTACGAAGGATGTTGATGGAGGTAAGTTCTACATACTGGTTTTTTTATGGGATAAGCCGGTAGACGAGCAGACGGATCACCTGGTGGTAGGCAATCGGCGTCGTCAATGGACACCCGAAACACTAGAGGCGTTACAAGAACGTTACCGGCCTTTTGGGGATTAGGAATTTGAGGATTTTTGGGGATTTAAGGATTGTGGAGACTGGGGAGGGGGAATAGTTGGGCCCCCGGTAACTCCAGTCACAATGCGGAACACAACACAAGCGTTGTTTCACGTCGGTTTTCTATGAAGCCGTGGCATCACCTCGGTCACAATGGGTCGGCCATTCGTGCCGAAGCATGCATCTCCCACACTTAGGCTATTCAAAGAAGGAATAAAAAATGTAGCATATCACGTTTAGGCTTCGACCTAGCCCCGGGTATAAGAGTTATGATGAACCACTTTTTTGCCTTTATATTTTTACTAGCTTTTACCCGCGGCTTCGCTCGCGTCACAAAAGGATAAAAAGTAGCCTATGTGACATATATCAATACACACAGCTCCATCTATACCAATACTTTTGTTTTCCCTCGGGAATATCAAATTTTTCCGGGATAAAAAGTACCCTATTATTTAATCCCGACTTCTAACTTTACGTCTGCAAAAATTCAAAGCAATCGGTTTAGTAGTTACGGCGTGAAATCGGAACAAACAAACAAACTCACTTTCCGATTTATAATATTAGTAAGGATTGTATTCAGGTTTCTTTGTCCAAAATGATTTGTTTAAATAAGTTGTTAAAACTTTTGTGTAACAATGGTAATTAAAAAACACTCCGTAATTTCATACGGTATTCCCACGGTAAAATTAATAGTACACATCTACAATCCTTAATCATAAACATAATCATCATAGGTAAATGATAAATAAATAAACTTTAAGAAACTTCTAAAAACTGTATAAAATGTCACTTACCTAAATATAATTTATATAATTTTCAGTGGAACAATTCAAACTGAAAAACTTAATTGGAAAAGGCAACTTTGGGGACTCCGCCCTATTCATGTATTACGTCTATATAATACATAGAAACTTTTTGGAGGAGCCCAGTGTAGTCAAGTTGTTCAGTGACCCTAAAGAGAAGTTTGATGCTGTTGTCCTGGAGTGGTTCTTCACTGAGATGAATGCTGGGTATGTTTCATTGAATTTATTACTATTATGGAGTAGGGACAAACAATATCAACTAATGGTAAGGAATCATCACTGCCTATAAACCCTATAACCACAACATAAGAGAGGTGTTGCAAGTGCGTTGCTGGAGTGACAAGCTTTTGATGACTAAATAGTTCCAACTTCTGCTGCAGGCTGGGGCCGCAGTATACGGCGACCTCGCCCACAATTACTGCAGAGTACTAATTGTCCTCAATTCATGTTGATTAATAATAAGATCACTACATACTACAGTTGAACTAGCAATTTCATTCTAAAACTAAATGATCAGACTTTTGATTAGAGATAGTCTTGTATTGATGTATAGCTAGTACGCAGAAAAGGACACAAAACTTATCTTATTATTCATTTTCTTCACAGCATTCCAGCACTTTTCAACTGCCCTCTTATCTGGGTTTGTTCGACGGAACCTCATTGGCAATCAATGAGAGTGATGGACGGGATCACCAACCCAGCTTACACTCTAGACATATTTACCCACAACAAGCTGCCTTTGAACTTCTGGCAACGAGCTGAAGGACTGTGGAAGGTTGTGAAAAAAGCTGTTCAGGTGTAAGTAATGTAGTTTCATCTCTAGTTTATTTTTTAAATCACTAACATAACATCATAACATCACGCCTTTTAGCCCCGAAGCGATAGGCAGTGGTGCACACAGAAGTAACACCCACTTTCCAATATATATGTTCACGTGCTATTAATGGGGAATTCTTTGCCAGAGTCTGTATTTCCTGAAGGGTATTACATATACATGACCTGGGTGTCGTCAAGGCTTGAGTGAATAGGTTGCTTATTGGTCAACGTGCTCCGTCGTAGGCCACATCATCGCTTAACGCCAGGCGAGTTAGTGGTCAAACGTCAGTCCTATCTAATATTTAAAAAAATGTCATTGATTTTTATTTTGAGATAATGTCGCCACAAATTCAATAAACTGCTGCAAACCCTTTAATCCAGGATCTACAGGAGATACAACCATAAAATTACCGGAACACTGAAGTCCGGCTGTTGATGTCCTGTTAACAGTAACTGCTCATCACAACAATTATACTATATCATTCCTAAATTGACCAATCGTTAATCATTTTTTATTCACCTATCATCTATGTTCCAGTTACTTTAATTGGTTTTTGTTCTCAACCGTTGTAACTGTAATAAATAAATAAATAAAATAAAATGATATCTATCATATTGTTTTAAATTACAGTTGTGTTTTGTTCTTACCTTTTAATTTGATTTAATTTTGATTATTAATTTTTATTGCCAGTTTTGTATATGTCTTATGATTTTTTGCATGTAGTGGCCTCCTATATTTGAGGAAGCACATAGTTTTTATTTTTGTAATGCTACTCGTGTACACGTGCTACGTCTATTCCTTTTTGTAGACCCTAACTCAATCCTTACTAATATTATAAATCGGAAAGTGAGTTTGTTTGTTTGTTCCGACTTCACGCCGTAACTACTAAACCGATTGCATTGAATTTTTGCAGGCGTAAAGTTAGTAGTCTGGAATAAATAATAGGGCACTTTTTATCCCGAAAAAAATTGATATTCCCGAGGGAAAACAAAAGTATTGGTATAAATGGGGCTGTATATATTGGTATATGTCACATGGGCTACTTTTTATCCTTTTGTGACGCGAGCGAAGCCGCGGGTAAAAGCTAGTAAATAAATAAATCTAAGTCATTATCTTCATAAACTAAATTACCTCTGTCTCCGTTTTTCCAGGCTGACTCTCAACCAGTTTGAAAAATGGTCTTACTATTCCATATACCCTGAGATCGCAGCCAAACGAGGTGTGACAATGCCTTCATATGAGGAGGCGGTATACAATGGATCCTTCATGCTGATTAACGCTCATCCTTCCATTGGAGGAGCCATAAAATTGCCTCAAAACTCTGCGAATATTGCTGGTTACCACATTGACAAAGTCAAACCTTTGCCGAAGGTAGTGTATAGACATAACATAACATCACGCCTTTTATCCTCGAAGGGGTGGGTAGAGGTGCATATTATGCCACTGTACAATGTAACACCCACTTTTCACTATTTATGTTATGAGTCCCATGTAATAGGGGGTGAGCCTATTGCCATATACCCGGCACAGTTTCAGTCTCCGTGCTACTACTGAGAATTTTTAAAATACCCAGTAATACTTTGCCCGACCCGGGAATCGAACTCGAGACCCCTTGCCCGGCAGTCGCACTTGCGACCACTCGGCCAACGAGGCAGAGTATAGATATATAATTATTTTGACGTGTTTGATTCTATGAATAGATTTACTTTATTTGTTAAGTTATCAATTTCCTGTTATCAAGTAGTTACGACTACCAACATAACATGTTGTTAAAACATATAATGTAATGTCAAATAATTAAGATAAAAAAATGTAATCAAGAAGTTTTAACACATATTGTTAGAAATTGTCAGCTACGATATCAATTATACGAAACCAAGAATGAATAAAAATAATGTAAGAAGCTAATTTTAACGCTGTTATGTAAATCTAGGAAATGAAACCTAAACGCCAGACCAAACAAATATTAAAAAACAGTTAATTAAAAAAAACAATTCTACGCTAAAAATATTTAATAAAAAAATCAATAAATCATCTAACCAATAAATAAAATACAACAGTTTAAAATATTATTTTACTTCCTTAAACGATAAACAAAGACGCTATTGCAGTGGACATAGGTACTGTGCATGTATGGACTAATCAATTAAGTAACCATTTGTATTTGTATTCTGTAAGTGTAGACCTCACTTATCTCGGCGGACGGCGAGCATGGGTGGCTCCCCGTCCGACCAGAAACAGACCCGAGCGTACGGCGCGTCGCGTTCCGCGCGCGCCTCAAAGAGCCATCAGACCACCACAGATGGGGCCCAATAGGGCCGATGCCGATTCGGAGTCGCGGAGAACCTAACGGGTAACCGGGGCTCCGGCTCGACGTGCAGGAGAAGGAACGGGGTGGTTTTTAGTCAGTAAGAGTCTGACACTCCCTTCCGCCTCACCCAGGCGGGAGCAGTCATTCGATGATTTTCCCCCCTTAAAAAAAAAAAAAAAAAGACCTCACTTATCTAAAGTATTACTTAGACTTATCTATCATGTTTTGAATACTTCAAATAAATAAGTGGTAATTTACGGTTTGAATTCATTTATTTCTAAAAGATTACAAATCACTTGTACAGAAATAAATACTTAAACTAATTTTACATTTTTTGATTTGTCCAGGAGTAACAAGAGTTGTAAATAGCGGTCACAATTTTAAGATTTTAACATTAACATAATAATTTATAACGACAAAGTAAGCAAATAAGTATATATGGAGGTATTCGTTAAAATATTTAATGACAAATATCTTACGGCCTACCGCCGTGCGCTGCATTGATGCGGCCCTCCGTGCGGTTCACTTGCAGGATCGGCTCACACTAGGCGAAAACCATTATAACATTGTTGACGAATCATTACAATTTTTATTTTGTTTTTTTTTTTTCCTTTTTATGGTACCTATACTTATTTTATATTGTTTCTTTTAAGTTTAGTTTTTATTAATTTATTTAAATTTTATTATATATTTTTTTTTTTATGATAATTATATACTAATGGTTTTTGTTGTATCCCTTCAAGATGTGACGTTTTAGTAATTTTTTGAAAAGAAACAAAGATTGTGTATTTTTTATATCTTTTGGTAGCGAGTTATAAAGTTTTACTCCCTCATAAATTATTGTTTTCTTTCCAAAGTTAGTTCTAGTACTTGCTATGTGTATGTCTTGAGCACGTCTCAGAATGCGTTTCTTTGTGAAGGTGATCTGAGTATGTATGTCCTTCGAAAGAATTTTCCGAACTAGAATACATGTATTATATAAATATATACTATAAATGTTAAATAATTTAGTTTGTTTGTAAATTTCGTTTGTCGGAGTCAGATAGTGGTAATGAAATAGTATTTTTATAATTTTGTTTTGCGCCCTTTGTAGTTTTTGTAGGTTAGTTTTAGCAGCTGAACCCCACACTTCTATGAGATAGTCAATATGAGGTTTCACCACACATTCACATTAGTAAAAACAATGGTCGTAGTGGAGCCGGCGGTTTAAGAGCTTCTCATACCTGAAGGTACGGTTTTAAAACCAACCAACAACAAGTACCAAGCTCACATTTTCCGAGTCATATATACTTTCCGAGTCATATTACATGTATGTTATGTAATATACTTTCTAAGTCTAAATAAGCGTATCTCATATCATCATATTTAGACACCACTGACAAGCGGTGGAGGAAAACGTCCTGAGGAAACCTGGGCTTATGATTTCTAATTATAAGTTTGAAATCACCAACCCGCATTGAGCAAACCTTGTCCGTGTGACTGGAGGCTGTTGGTCAGTAGTGGCCACTTATAGGCTGTTGATGATGATGATGATTTAGATAATAGTAACTAAGTACATGGATAAAATTGTTAAAGAATTAGGTAGGGGAAGGAAATATAACAAATTAGCTTCTGCCAGCGTCTTTGCCCGAGGTGCCGTGGGATAAAAAGTAGCTTATATATAGGTAGACCATAATCAATCCCTGTTTAGAATTTCATCCCTGCTCCTTCAGCTATTTTTACGTGAACAAACTTTCACATTTATAATATTAGTAGGATACCTTCGTTTCTCTTAAAATCAAGCTCAAACAGCTAACAAAAAAAAATATCAAGCAAAATCAATTTTTCCACAATCTTTTAACTTGGAAGACATAAAAAATACATGTTTGGCCTTTACACAGTACATCAACGACTCGGTTAATACGTAATCACGCTATTTCCCACGGGCAGAATAAAATGAACTTTTGAGCTTAGCCAAAAGCAACACGCTCTGAATTTATTCTCTCTAATCTTTCCAACCGCTCAAAAGACTTAGTACAACAATAGGGAATCAAGCGCTACGTTGGGTCTCCAAGGATTTTTATCCAGTTCTGCAAATCTGCAATCTTATACTGTAGATTGCTTGGTTTAACTCCATCTGCTTACTGCAGCGGAACTAATTTGTTTGCATAGCACGTGCTAAACGTTCGGTCTGTTGGTCCAAATATTAGCGGAGAAAATCCTCTGGGAAAGTCGTTGGTTTCATTTCTGTATCTTTGCAGCTGGCTCATAATTTGAAGATGTTACATTTTGTTTTTTATTACGTTTAATATTTTGTAGTATAGAATATGATTGTTTTCATTAACTCATAAGAAAATTAGACCAAAATCTAATCGTTTTGGGAATGAAAACCAAATTCTTTAAGAAGTATCTTTAACATAACATAACATCACGCCTTTTATCCCCGAAGGGGTAGGCACTATTTATGTTATTAGTCTCATTTACTAGGGGGTAAGCTTCTTGCCATATACCGGGCACATTTCTAGACTCCGTGCTACTACTGAGATTTCTTTTAAAACCCAGTAATACTTTGCCCGACCCGGCAGTCCTAGCACTTGCGACCACTCGGCTTACGAGGCAGTCTCCATTAGAAAGAAGTATCTTTCTGACACAATAATGGCATTATTATACACACGAAATAGTTTTTATCTTCATCGCCTGTGAACATAATAGACAATGATATCAAAAGGTGAATTTAATGTTTTGTTGGTTTTTAGGATCTCCAGAAAATAATGGATGAAGCGAAAAACGGCGTCATTTACTTCAGCATGGGATCTATCGTCCAAAGTGATGGCATGTCTGAACAGATGCAGAAGTCTATTCTGAACATGTTCAGTAAATATAAACAGACGGTTATTTGGAAATTCGAGAGTGACATGAAGGATAACATACCTTCAAACGTTCATCTTGTTAAATGGGCTCCACAGCAAAGCATATTAGGTAAGAAAAGACCTCCATTTTGTTATTTCCGTTAGATACGTCCAAATGATGTACAAAAGAATCGTGTTACATAAACTGTTTAATCCTTTGATCCCTAACAAATTCGTTCAAAAGTTTTGGCGAAAGCCAAAGACTTTGAAAGTAAATAACTTAAGAATGAATATAATTTTACAAAAAGCGAACAAACAAACAAATAAATATATTTATTTTCATTTTGTTTACATATACTTAATCTAATTTTGTTATTTTAGTTACATTCTAGGTAGGTGACAATATAATGAACATAGAGGTATAACTTGATTGCTCTTCATCCATTATAGCAACAAATACTTTCCGAATTTCAGCTCATCCGAACCTCAAACTGTTCATCACCCATGGTGGTCAGCTCTCCACATCAGAAGCCATACATTACGGAATACCCTTAGTTGGTATCCCTGTGATGGCAGACCAGGTCCTCAACATGATCTCCGTGGAGAACAAGGGTTTTGGAATCAAGGTCACCCTATCTGAAGATATGATACCAGAACTTGATGCAGCTATCAAAAAAGTACTGACTGATGACGCGTAAGTTGATAATTGTCAATTATTTCATAAATTCTTTCTATAACTCTCTATGGAACCCAGTTTCCTTAGACGTGATCTTAATCTAATAAAAAATGACCCAATTTAATAATTATAACTTATTGATGTCTCATTTTGGGAATAAAATAAAAGTGGATGGATTTGAAGTCAACAACAAGTTTGTCAACAAATTATTTTCATTTATGTATTTACGAATTTGTCTTACTAGACGTTTTCATAATGCTTTTGGCGTTCGTAATTAATGATTATGTATACAAGTCTATTACTTTTAAGTTTATCACCGCCACATTGATAAAACTGATGACACAACTAAGTGTAGGAGAGCCATGCTTCGGCACGAATAGGCCGGCTCGACCGAAGTGATCACGGCCTCACAGAAAACCGACGTGAAGTAACGCTTGAGTTGTGTTTCGTCGTGTGACTGAGGTTACCAGAGGCCCAATTACCCTCCCCTTCTCCAATCTCCCCAATTCCTGAATCCTTACCGACTTATGCCATAAAAAAATACTGTCAATTTTCCCCATTCAATTTTCAGATATAGAAAAAAAGCCAAAGAAATATCAGCTCTGTTCCATGATCGTGTGATGACACCAGGCGCAGCAGTCCCATATTGGATAGAATACGTTGTGCGGACACGTGGTGCACCCCATCTCCGATCACCTGCACTCGATGTCCCACTTTATCAAAAGCTTTACTTAGATCTAGCAGCATTCATAGCTGTAGTTGTAATTGTACTCAAAAAGGTTGTGAAATATTTAATGAAAAAGAGAAGTAATAAAAAAGAGAAGAGTCAATAATACCTTCTTAGAATATTGTTGTTTTTTTATCTTCCTTCTGGAATGATTTTTTCAACGCGCTTTATCGGAGGAACAATTTTGACTATTTGACAATCTTCTATATTAAAACCTGTCAAATATCTATTCTATTCTAAAGAGAAAGTTAAACATTATTCTAAATCAGCCCCTAGTTAATTAATTACTTCAATTTGTTTGTACTATGCAGCAACCGATATGCTGTAGTTATATTTGTGACTTAATGTGTAATATTGCGTTAAATTTTCTATCAGGAGTCAATTTTATATCTACATGAATAAACATTGGCCCCAGTTATACCCCTTTAATCCCTGAAGATCTCGACAAGTGTGTTACCATTCTTAAAACTTTGGTTATTGGGTATCGCATATATAAAAGTGATTGCTGCTCACCAAAGACTTCTGGTTTGATTCCAGATTGAGTAGTAAATTCTCAATTATACTCATTCAGAGAAATACAGGAACTAATCTCTAAAAACATATTATTGAACGGTTCAAAATACACCTCTCTATATTTTGATTCAATCACAATCAGACCAAGATAGCAAACTATATGAACCAGACTTTACGATATATGATCAAAGAGTACTAAATGCTTGAATCAACAGCGCCTAGGCATCCTCACCAATACAGGGAGCATCAAGGTCAACGTAAAGACTCGTTTTCATTAGGTGCAGCGCAGACGTCCAACATGTTTGACAATACAACAGTACAACATTGTCAAACATGTTGAACGTCTTGTGACGTTGCCATGTATCGCAACATGATGTATTGTATTGTACTTGTTGATTACTTCGATACAAGAACGTATAGAAAACGTAACGTGCAACGAAAAAGTGCTAATCAAATCAACACTAGTTCCTCATATTTGACTGCACGGTTGGTGCGGTGGCTGGTTCGATTCCCGCATGGAACAATACTTTGTGTGATCCACAAATTGTTGTTTCGGGTCTGGGTGTCATTGTGTATGTGAAGTTGTATGTTTGTAAACACACCCACGACACAGGAGAAAATCCTAATCGTAACGTTTTAAAAAAAATAAAAAAATAATAATAATAATTTATTAGTTGACATCTGTTGCGAGCAACATCTTGTGTAGACAGACAATATTGCTAAATAAAAGATCGACGCTGACTTACAATACTGATGCAAAATGTGGCGTGTCAAATGTAGCCCAATGGATACGAATCTTTAGTTGCCAGGCAACAGGCATGAGTGCATAAAGCATCACGCTTCATTGCCTCGCCAGTCAACTGTTACGTCAATTGAACAATTGCCATGAAACGACACAGTAACTTTGATAGGCTTGTTATTCTGCAGAGAGGTACAGTGTACTATTTTTAACTGACTGATAATAAGAGGAGATATATGATTAAATTCAACCTAACATCACGTCTTATTTGGAATATTTAAGAGAACGTGTATATTATCATTGACCTTTCTTTACCATTGACAAACTCATGCAACTCCAGTGCAACGTCAAATAAATTTTGTTGAAATAATGTAACATATACTCTTACTAGCTATGTTATGAATCCCATGTAATCTAGGAGAGCCTTTTGTCATAAAATACCGGGTAGATTTCCAGACTGTGGTTCCAAAAAACTGAAATTTAATTATCAATGATATGTCACATAAAAAACTACCAAAAACATAATACATTATGATTTACTTGATTCTTCGTTTGTTTATGTACCTTTATGCGACCTTGATCTTTTTGGTAAGTAGCGTTAGCAAAGAAGTGCTACAGTTATGTCACTATATTATTTATTGTGGTATCATATAACAAAGCGGTTTTTCGTTACATAGTTTTATATAAATATAAGGCCGCTGTGCGATATGAGAAAGCAAGGGTTGAAAACAAATTTGGATGGGGGAAAGACAATAACGACAAAAAAACAATTGATAAATAATCTGAGATGTAAAAGTAATATGGAAAAAACGCACTGTAAATATTATGACAACGATGACTGAAACAAAAAAAATTAAGACAATTTGGTGATACAATCACCAAAGACTGCCTCGTTGGCCGAGTGGTCGCAAATGCGACTGTCAGGCAAGGGGTCTCGGGTTCGATTCCCAGGCCGGCCAAAGTATTACTGGGTTTTTAAAATAAATATTCTTAGTAGTAGCACGGTGTCTGAAAGTGTGCCCGGTATATGGCAATAGGCTCATCCCCTATTACATGGGACTCATAACATAAATAGTGAAAAGTGGGTGATTCATTGTACAGTGGCATAATGTGCTCCTCTGCCTACCCCTTCGGGGATAAAAGACGTGATGTTATGTTATGTAATCACCAAAACAGCCAGAGAGTGTTTACTTACATTTATTATTAGGTATGAATTATTTCTAAACCAAAACGAAGTTTGCTTCAAATTCTAGTTTTCTTCTGTTTACCAAACTAGTAAGTTTAGATCATTAATTTCAAATTAAATTGCATACAATTAGCGTCTCATAGATAGGTGTATTACGGGTGTCGCACCAATATCAATTAGACGAGTTTCCAATTGTTGCATTTGTTCGATAATCTACTTTTTATTATACAAATATTTAAAAAACGTATCAAAATGAAGTGTATTTTAGTACTACATTTACTATTTTTGTTGTATAACGTAGACGGTCTAAAAGTATTGGTTTGTTTTCCTTTACCTGTGAAAAGTATTAGTATATTAGGACAAAGTGTAGTTCGGTATTTAATGGACGCTGGACACGAAGTAAGTAAAAATCTATTAGAATCAAATTGATTGGCTGAACACAACACTCATTCACAACATTGGGATTACCGGATTACTCCTTAAGCCCCCAATTTTGCCAGGTCAGGGACCCAACACTCCTAATAATGTAAATCAAGGCAGAGACTCCAGAAATATGAATTGTGGATATCATTTTTATAATAACTATCGTGAGACATACTAAATTAAGTAAAATCGCGGGCTACTCATGTGAATATACTGAGAAAATCTCGCGTCGCGCAGCTCACTGACGTCGCCGCGACCGCGCACTCTGCTCATGAGCAAGAACCCCTCTGTGGTTCGAAACTAGTAGAGCTCTTCTCAGTATATTCACGTGAGTAGCCCGCGATTTTACTTAACTCGTCGAGTACCGTATTTATAGACACAATTAAAGAACAATAGGTTGCGGTCACCGGTGACCGCTTGGTGTTTGACAGTTTAATGTGGATATCATGTCCAATTCTATAAAACATAATCGTAAAAAAATGAAAAAAAAAATTACCTAATACCTCGTTGACTAATTGGAGAGTTTCCATTAAGATTTTGGTTTGACTTGATTGCATTCCTAATTAGAGCCCATTAGATAGGCTGCAATCTGATTCGGTTGTGTCAAAAATCGACAATGTCAGTCGGTTGCGCTAGTCCAACACTAAATTTTCAGGTAACATACATAACAGTGTACCCGTTGAAGAACCCACCAACTAAAAAATTACGTCAAATTGATATCAGCAGCAATACTGCTCTAGTTGCAGGTAAATAACACAAAATAAGACTCATAATTCTATTTTATACCTATTCAATACATACTTAAGGCCTTTCTGATAGAGAGCCGTTACTTTTTACCCGAAAATAATATCATATACCTTAATCATCCAAAGAATTTAACTTACTATTTCTGGGATTTTTGGGCACAATGATGGCCGATTATATTAGCCAATAGTTAAAATTGAAATTACAAATGGAAGTCATTTACGTAGCTTAAGTTCGGGGGTGGATGATGATAAAAATTACAACGATACTATAACTGATGATGACAATTTGTTTACAGATGCGCAAATACTTTCATTGGCATATATTCTGGACAATAAACTGGAAAATAGTTCACCACGTGACATTCAAATATTTAGTCAAAATATCGCAAGAAATACTCTTAGCCATGAAAACGTGACCAAACTCTTGGAAGATCAAAGTGAGCACTTCGATGTTGTTATAGCGGATTTATTAGAGACTGAGTTATATGCTGGGTGAGTGGTGCAAATGCTTTTCTTTTCAATATCATTAGAAACAAGAGTTACCATAACTCATTGAATGATCAAAATAATGTTTTTAATCGGTTTCTTCTATGCCAACTCTTAGAAGTTATTTATTTTTTTACTTTTAAACTTGTTTCATTCTCCTTTTTAGATTAGCAGTTGTATACAAGTGTCCTATGATATGGATCCACTCTATGGGGGCAAACTGGCAAGTACTGAAATTGATAGATGTTGCTACGAACCCTGCTTATGATCCAAACTACTTATCATCAAACATAAATCCGTTATCATTCACACAAAGAGTCGAAGAACTATGGACACGAATGCAGTGGCAATTTTTCAAAACGTAAGCGTAAAATTATATATTCATACTAGCGGAACCAACAGACGTTGTCCTGCATATCCACTTGAATGTATAAACAAAAATTCATTCAAATTAGTTCAGCTGTTTAGGATAAATAGCCTAAACATCGACTGCAGCGCCATCTGCCGGGCTTATTTGTGAATCTAAACCATTCCAAGATCCCCTTGAACACATACAATAAATTTCATCAAAATCGGTCCAGTCGTTTGATAGAAGTTCAGTGACATACACACTCACAGAAGAATTATGTATATAAAGATAATTTTTTCCAGTTCCAAAGTCATGCGACTACATCCATTTATCTGCAAGATAGTGCATAGTTGCAGAATATTGACATATACTATCTACATTGATGTTTAAACTATGTCACAGTAATTTCAAAAGATGTTGATGATAACGAGAATTGCATCGCATTGTATTTTTATCAGATTCTTCACTCAACCAGGGGAGCGCAAGATTTATGAGACCGTCTTTGGTCCTTTACTGGCTAAACGTGGAAGGATGCTTCCAAATTATGAAGATATCATATACAATGCTTCTCTAATATTTGCCAATGAACATGACGCTGCACTCAACAGACCAAGTACTCCACAAAACTTTAAATTCATCGGTGGACTTCATATAGAGGAACCTGTTAAGCCACTGGAAAATGTGAATAACTAAACACAATTTTTAAATTATAGTCATCTCCGTCTCCCTTGTCAAAGATAAACTGTATTTACAATCATTTCAGGATATTCAATGCCTCATAGATAACTCGGTGCACGGCGTCATATATTTCAGTATGGGATCATTTTTGAAAAGTAATTCTATGCCAACAAATCTAACAAAAAACATTCTTCAAATGTTCGGAGAACTTAAACAAACCGTTATTTGGAAATTTGAAGGTAACAATTTACAAGGCATCCCAAATAACGTTCACATTGTAAACTGGGCTCCCCAACAAAGCATTTTAGGTAAAGTAATTATTACTATTACTCAATTTTTGTCATAATTTTTATCATCCTTTCAGTCCGTCATCGGCTTCAACTTCTTTATTTTGAGTGGCCAAAACATTGCCATTTAATAAACTTTATACTTGCTACACGTATTTATCATTGGAACTCCTTTCCAGCTCATCCCAATGTTAAAATATTCCTCACACATGGAGGCCTGTTCTCTTCCATAGAAGCTATCCACTTTGGAGTACCAATCATAGGAATACCAGTACGTTTCGACCAGAATACTAATGTCAATAAGGCAGTGCTTAATGGATATGCTTTGAAAGTGGCCCTGTCTTATGATCTTCCTAAAGACTTGAAGGCTGCAATTAATATCATGTTAAATGACGATCGGTAAGTAAAATTTTTGATAATTTAGAAATATTACTGCCATTTATTTGTTCTTCTGTATTTTTTATAGTTACGAGTATTTAAAACATAAACACAAAACATTCATTTGATGCTATTAATGGATCCTAACGACAACATCATTTGACCTTTGTTCTGGGGAGACGTCGTCCAGTTAATAATATTGATGTTTTTGTTTCAGTTACACCAAAAAAGCCAAAGAGCTATCCTCTGTATACCACGACCGTTTGCTGAAGCCAGGTCCTTCTCTCGTATACTGGGTGGAACATGTAGTGCGCACACGCGGAGCCCTTCACCTGCGCTCTCCAGCCCTCCACATACCTTTATACCAACGTCTTTACCTCGATCTCTTAGCTATAACCCTAACTATTGTGTCTGTATTAATTTTCTTAATAAGCACACTATGTAGGAACAAAACCGGCAAATTACATTACCTAAAGAAAATTGATTAATTTAGGATTCTTCAAATTATTTTAGGTATTTAGTAAATTAAAATCTATTTTGCGAAAATTTTCTGATGTTTTTTTCATACACCCTGCACAAATATGTAAAGGCTTTAGCATTATGAGACAATACAAAGATAATAATTAGTTTATGTTGATATTAAAAGAACAGGTATAATTTAAGAACCTCCGACCTCCGTCTTTAATCGTAAAAAAATACCTTTTGACGTTAATTTTGGCATTAGCGTAAATTATTTAATAATATTGCCTCTAATCTTACATTTTATTTACATCAGTTGTCACTAATTCTGCGGTATCGTTAGGTTCGATAAATCTTCGTATATTTTTTTGCTTACCGTACCAATAAGCACGGATCATTAACTTCTTATACCACTGTGTGGATTGATTATAATTATTACCAGTATCTTGTTGATACGCTTTGCACGTGTTGTTTATTTTTATGAAAAACATTTTTTTTTTTGTTATCTAAAAGATTAATTAAAGTGTGTTGCAATGAAGTTGCCAATGTTATTATGTTTGATATTGTTATATTATTTTTTAAGTGTAGTAGATGGTCTAAAAGTACTAGTTTGTTATCCTTTACCTGTGAAGAGTTTAAGCATTTTGGGACAAGGTGTAGTTAGGCATTTATTGGAAGCTGGACATGAGGTATGTACAAAATTTAATTTACTAGCACTTTTAAATTAATCGCCAGCCAAAATTCCTTGTTTTTTCTAGTCATGGTATAGGAAACTCGCTACTATTTAGATTTTCCAAGATGTTCTCAAGGATTGAAGTCCTAGAATGTTTATTTGACAATCTGAGTAATGTCTTGTATTCCTAGAAATAGAAACCGAGTCCATTTTTCAACCAACGATGAACAATAAATGAATAGAAGTAAAATAGTTGTATTCTTTTTTCAGGTAACGTACATGACAGTGTATCCCCTGAAGAGTCCGCCAACGAAGAACTTCCGTCAAATTGATATCAGCAGCAACACTGCTCTAGTCGCAGGTGAGAAACTCAAAATCATAACCATTCGCTAATATAATACCATTTAGGTGACAAACAAGCTTATACTTGGAAAAAAATGACACATTTCATGCCAGACAAATATTAATAAGAACCCACCGACTATTTACAGGTCCATAGGATTAGGGGACTATACATTTCGTCAGCAGTACTTAATGAAAAACCTGCATCTGTTAGACTATTATCATCAACTCAAACCAAGCGTGGAGATTAACACAGAGATTATTGTGTAGAAGAGGTTCATAGTGCAGAAGTAGGGCTGTTAAAAGCTGTTGATAGTGAAAATCGCTATTTAGATATTCAGTAAAATAAGTATTTATGTCGTGGTGGCCCGGAGGTTTAAGACGCCCACTTCTCATGCATGAGGGTGCGGGTTCGAAACCTACCAACGGCAAGTACCAATGTGACTTTTTCCGAGTTATATGTACTTTCTAAGATTATTTAGACACCACTGACAAACGGTGAAGGAAAAACATCGTGAGGAAACCTGGATTTATAATTTCTAATTATAAGTTTGAAATCGCCAACCCGCATTGAGCAGGCGTGGTGATTAATGCTCTAACCTTCTCCGTGTGAGAAGAGGCTTTGCTCAGCAGTGGGCATTTATAGGTTGTTGATGATGATGAAGTATTTATGAATGATGAACAACATCTAAATTAGACCTTGATTGATAAAGGGTTTTAAAGCTTTGATGAATTTTATTGTGAGTTGAATAACTATGTTTTATATCTACAGGTGATCAAATGCTGTCAATAGAATTTATTCTAAACAATAAACTCGAGAAGACTCCCTCTCGTGATATTCAATTATTTGGCCAAGAAGCAGCTAGAATGACTCTTAATCACGAAAATGTGATAAAACTCCTTGAAGATCCGAATGAGCACTTCGATGTTATTCTGACAGATTTATTAGAATCTGAATTATATTCTGGGTAAGTTGCAAAAAAATTATTATCATGTCACAAGGGTAACTGGACGGCAATACCCGTTATTAACAGTAAGTAAAAAATCGAATAGAATATTTCTTGTAAGAGCGTAAATTAAGAAGATAATATACCTTGACCGGTTAGCCGGCTAAAATAAGGATAGACATAGAGGTCTTTGGGTTAAGCATTAGAGTGCCTTTTACTCAAATACGTACTACATTTCACACAGATCAATTTGTTAATAAATTATAGTATGATCATGCCCGCAAAATTGTATCTTGTTACCTTTCTCTTTCAGATTTGCAGTTGTATATCAGTGTCCTATGGTATGGGTATACTCTATGGGGGCGCATTGGCAAGTACTAAGATTGATAGACGTTGCTACGAGCCCTGCTTACGACCCAGACTATTTGTCTTCAAACACAAATCCATTATCTTTCACAGAAAGGGTTGATGAACTATGGACTCGGATCCAATGGCAATTCTTCAAAACGTAAGTCTACAAGTGACTATGTTACTGTAACTACTTAAAATCGGAAATTTACTACACTTTACTTAGCGACGGTTAACCTTTACATAACATAAACATAACATGACTCCCTTTTATCCCCGAAGGAGTACGCAGAGGTGCACATTATGCCACTGTACAATGTAACACCCACTTTTCACTATTTATGTTATGAGTCCCATGTAATAGGGGGTGAGCCTATTGCCATATACCGGGCACAATTCCAGACTCCGTGCTACTACTGAGAATTTTTTTAACCCAGTAATACTTTGCCCGACCCGGGAATCGAACCCGAGACCCCTTGCCCGGCAGTCGCACTTGCGACCATTCGGCCAACGAGGCTGGCAGAGCAGAGGTTACCTTTATTTTAGAAGAAAACCGACACTAAAAGCCTTTTTGGTAGCAACTCGCAAAGAAACGTAGCCTAGCTCGGTCCGCTTAATAATACTTACCAGGAATGTTTTATCAGGTTTTTTACTCAACCTGAGGAACGCAGAATTTACGAAGCAGTTTTTGGTCCAGTGCTAGCTAAACGTGGAAGGACGCTTCCAGATTATGAAGACGTTATTTACAATGCTTCGCTGATATTCGGGAATGAACATGACGCTGTACGCAATCGACCATGTACTCCACAGAACTTCAAGTACATCGGTGGTATTCATATTGAGGAACCCGTGAAGCCCCTGCAAAAGGTAAAAACAAAACACAGTCGCTGTATTTTTTAAAGTATGACCTTGAATGACGACACAGGAGAGAAACCAAATGTGGGGCAACGATTCTTAAAAAAAAAATATCTAACTTGTCAAACAAAAACTATTTTTTTCTTATTCTTTTTAGGATCTCCAAGACCTTATTGACAATTCGAAGCATGGCGTCATATATTTCAGTATGGGATCATTTTTACAAAGCAAGACTTTGCCAAAGAAACTGATCATGGAATTACTTCAGATGTTCGGAGAATTTAAGCAAACAGTCATTTGGAAATTCGAAGACAATAGTTTGCAAGATGTCCCGAAGAACGTTCACATTGTAAATTGGGCTCCACAGCCAAGCATTTTAGGTAACCGACTTAATGGCGTACAATCTATACTTAGTTCTCTTCCATTTAATAAATATTTCTTTTAGCCAGTTTTTAACATCAACTTTCAAACTGTTTTAAAAACCTATTAATATACTTAACCATTCTGTAATGATAAAAACTATCAATAATATTAATTTTGTTTAAATTTCATTTTTGTATCCATTTTCAGCTCATCCAAATGTCAAAATGTTCCTAACCCATGGAGGTCTGTTCTCATCTATAGAAGCCGTTCACTTTGGAGTACCAACCATAGGAATTCCAGTACTCTTCGACCAAATCACGAATGTCAATAAAGCCGTGCTAAATGGGTATGCTCTAAAAGTGGAGCTGTCCCATAATTTGGCTGAAGACTTGAAGGCTGCCATCAATGTTATGTTAAGTGATGGTCGGTAAGTATCATTATTAAGAATTTTAATTACAGTCTTGTGTTCAAGATTTAGTATTTACATATTTGAAAAGCAGTAAAGAATTGAGAGTATTAAGTTGAGCAAAAGCAGTAGCTTTTGCTGTGGTAGGTGACCACACCTACCAATTACGGTTAAGGTAGCCTGGTAGGCTACCTATTACTACCATAAGTGTAGGAGAACCATGCTTTTGCACGAATAGACCGGCTCGACCGAAGCGATTCCATGGTCTCACAGAAAACCGACGTGAAACAATACTTGCATTGTGTTTCGTCGTTTGAGTGAGGTTGCCGAAGGCCCAATATTCTAAATCCTAATCCCTAGTGGTAACGCACCTCTAGTGTTGCAGGTGTCCATAGGCGGTGCCGATTGCTTACCATCAGGTGATCCGTCTGCTCGTTTAAGGGCTTATTCCATAAAAAAGTCGCGGAGAACCTAACGGGTAACCGGGGCTCCGGCTCGACGTGCAGGAGAAGGAACGGGGTGGTTTTTAGTCAGTAAGAATCTGACACTCCCTCCCGCCTCACCCAGGTGGGAGCAGCCATTCGATGATTTTCCCCCCTTAAAAAAAAATAAGAATCCATACTTCTTCTCTATCAGATCAACTAACCAGCCACTTCATTCTCCTTTATCGTGACTTATTATGCAGCCATATATATTATTATATTTGTTTCTATATTATATTATATACTTTGATTTGTTTCAGTTACACTAAGAAAGCGAAAGAGCTATCCGCTATCTACCATGATCGGTTGACAAAACCAGGTCTAGCTCTCGCATACTGGGTGGAACACGTAGTGCGCACACGGGGTGCTCTTCACCTGCGCTCTCCAGCACTCCACGTACCATTATATCAACGTCTTTATCTCGATCTCTTAGCAATAATCCTAACAACTACGTCTGCATTGGTTTTCCTCCTAAGAAGAATGTGCCAGAAGAGAAATGGAATAACATATTATGGCCAGAAAAAATCAAATTGAATTTTATATTATAGATCCAATGTTAATTGGAAGCAAATCTTAGGTCACAAGAAATATAATAGAATCGTTAGATAGACTGAAAGTTTTCTATTGTGAAATACCAACGTATAATTCTGTAGTGCAGTAGTTTAAGAACGGATTACACATATTTTATTAAAAAACAAACACTTCGAACATTTCTTTTACTCTTGTCCTTACTAATATTATAAATCGGAAAGTGAGTTTGTTTGTTCCGCTTTCACGCCATAACTACTAAACCGATTGCTTTGAATTTTTGCAGATGTATAGTTAGAAGTCCGGATTAAATAATAGGGTACTTTTTATCCCGGAAAAATTTGATATTCCCGAGGGAAAACAAAAGTATTGGTATAGATGGCGCTGTGTGTATTGGTATATGTCACATTGGCTTTTATCCTTTTGTGACGCGAGCGAAGCCGCGGGTAAAAGCTAGTGTATAAATAATAATATAAAAATATAGCAAATATTTGTTGTCAACCTTACAAGATACATTTGTAGACCTTGTCCTAAAAATGGCTCACTTGTTTTTGTCTGCGGATACGTACTCATCAATGGTCACACTGAGCTGTGTCGTAAATACTCATAGTCAACAGAAAGGGGGAAAATACATGATCATTCTTGTGGTTTCACGAAGTCCATTTATTATTGACAAACATTAATGTAATTAAGGATCTTATGGGAATGGAAAACGACAAGATTTTATGAGCTGGTCATGTCGGGCAAAAGCTAATTTGCTTTTGGACAATATATCAGCCTTACTCTGCGTATGATCATGATATTATTATTATTAGATTAGTACTGTCAACAAAAAAAATAATGTAAATCTCACACGTCCAGAAAATATTCAATTGTAAAAAAGTGTAAAATTCTGAGATCTTTCACTTCGGGGAATAAAAATTGGGACATAATACTTTGAGATACAAGACTGTGTCTGTATATCTTTGTAACTCTTACTGCATGTCGATAATGAGCAGTCTTGAAATAATCTGCCTCCTGGCAAACGGCACTAAGACACTCCTGACAAGTCAAATGAGTTCATACCAAAGACAATAAAAGGCAATGAATATACGCGACCGAAGTTTTGACTTAAATCGAATATCCAGTGTTAAACTGTTGGTGGGCAAGTGGCTGGGCAACCGGCTGCCGTGCAACGTGTCGCGGGTTCGATTCCCGCACGGAACAACACTTTGTGTAATCCACAAATTGTTGTTTCGGGTCTGGGTGTCATGTGTATGTGAACTTGTATGTTTGTAAACGCACCCACGACACAGGAGATAATCCTAGTGTGGGGCAACGTTTTAAACATAAAAACTCATTCATTTTCTTTTTCATTCACTCGTTGAACTGCCGTTTTAATTTCGTTTTCCTAGGGTCAATTTTATATTTTACAACTCTCGGTGAAATCAATTTTTAATTTGTGCACCCTTAATATGCCACGTCACTCACCGGTGCCTGCCGCTAGTGGAAGTTTGATTTTCACTATTTTAAACTGGGCAGTTCAATTGTTAAACCAATTACATATTTTTGAACGATCATTTTTTGAATAATTTTTTAGAATCATATTTACAAATATTAAATTGTATTGTTAATTTTTTTGTGTACCGTACTTTAACTTGTAAACAAGTAAGGATTGCTTCCTACCAATATTATTATATTGAATGTAATGATTGTACTGCTGTTCATGTGTCAGTACGCATTAGACGTGTTTTTTGCACATAGTTTTTTTATATCATCATACAGTTACTAAAAGTACGCCATAATGAAGTGGTCAATACTAATAGGTTTAATATATTTTCTATCTAATGCGGAAGGTTTAAAAGTATTGATATGTTTCCCTTTACCCGTGAAGAGTTTAAGTATTTTGGGACAAGGAGCGGTCAGGCATCTGATGGAAGCTGGACATGATGTAAGTACTCTAATTAATCAAAGTCAAAGCATTTACTTCAATTAATCCTTAATTAGTCACTTTAGAAACGTCCGAATTGAATTGTGCGTCAGTCTGTCTGTCTGTGAAACTAGGTGCTCGGTCGAAACAATTAATGTTCATAAATAAAAACATTTTAATATCGGTGATTACTTCAAAAAATGTAAAAGAATATGTGAATGTCACATGCATTTTGCATACCTATACGTATATTAAAGCCACTTGTTGTAAATACATATGTACAAATTTTGTATGCAAGAAAATTTAAATGGTGTTAAGGGCCAAACTAATTAAAAAGGCCTAATATTTATTAATTAATAATAGTTGTACTACGCATACAACAATATACAATTATAGTGGAATTCCAGGTAACATACATAACAGTGTACCCACTGAAGATAAAAGCGAAAAATTTTCGTCAAATTGATATCAGCACCAACACTGCCTTAGTTGCGAGTAAGTAATTAATAAATACAATAGCACTTTTCATTCGAAAAAAATATGTAACTTTTCACTAAGGATTAAAACATTTTTTACGATAACCAATATATGTATTATAAATTTCCAGGTGATGAATCATTGACAATGGAATACATTCTTGATCACAAACTAGAAAGAAACCCTCCAAATCAAGTACAAGAGTTTGCTCTAGAAGCCCTAAGAATGACTCTTAACCATGAAAACGTGAAAAAACTACTAGAAGACCCGAATGAGCATTTTGACGTTATCATTACAGACTTGATCGAATCAGAAGTGTATGCTGGGTAAGTAAAATACTATAGCATAATAGTATTTTAATTTCTGAATTCCAATGCAGTTTTCTAAAATCGACAAAACCCTATATTAATATATACCTGACATTTTTTACCTGACCTACATGTCGAAACTGAAATCCTTTTCCCAACAGCCATGCTTGTAAACATTGACCAACAAGGCAGCCAATAAAGCCCAAAGGTATTTTATACATATTATAGAAAATTACAGATTCTCAGCAATTGTCGTTTTTGTTGGTTACAATATCAATAATATTTAGCCAGAGACAAAGAAACAAATATGGAGAAAAGTAACTTAATGAATGGCTAATACAATAACGTACTTTAATTTTCAGATTGGCGGTCTTATACAACTGCCCCATGGTATGGCTCTACTCTATGGGGGCACACTGGCAAGTACTGCGACTGATAGATGTTGCCTCGAACCCTGCTTACGACCCAGATTACTTATCACCAAACATGCCTCCATTTACATTTACACAAAGGGTGGAAGAACTGTGGTCGAGGATTTATTGGCAATACCTCAAAACGTAAGAGTGAAAAATAATGTTTTAAATGTATACTTAATACATTTAAAACATGTATTATTTAGGTTCTTTATAAAAGCTATTCTTTATCAATGTATGCTAGATTCTACACCCAACCTGAGGAGCGCAGGATCTACGAGGAAGTCTTTGGTCGTCTGCTGGCTAAACGTGGAAGATCGCTTCCAGATTATGAAGATGTTATGTACAATGCTTCACTGATATTCGCGAATGAGCATGACGCTACACGAAACCGAGCGAGTACTCCACAAAATTTTAAGTATATCGGTGGATTCCATATTGAGGAACCTGTGAAGCCACTGCCTAAGGTAAAATTAAGTATTCAGCTTATTAGAAGATCAACGTCTACTTTTGTTAATACTGAAAAGCATTGTAAAACTAAGTTAAGTCAAAGGTGTTGGAGATGTTTTTTGTGGTCATGATGAAGACGATCTCTTGGTTTGTGAAACCATCGCGGTCGACTTCTTGTGAATTGGAAGAATCCTTTCGTAAAGAGGCCTTCCTTTACCAGAAATTCGTTCAGTCTCTCTCCGCTGGGATTCCATTACCCCATTTTTAGCCTATGATCGTCTCGACTACCCAATTTTGGGTAAGTTAAAATCCATAAGGATAGTGAAGTAGCCTGTTGTTGTCACACTTTCAATGCTAATGTTAATACATAAAATAATGTTGATAACAAGGGACCCATGGACGAAAAACTTGACCATGGAATAATTGGTCGCCCCTCCGCTAGTGATCATAATTTTCCAGAACAAAATAATAATAAAAAATAATAATAATAAAATCTTTATTCAGAAATGAAAATGGACACAGATACAAAAATATTTCTTGGGTAAATAAAATAGATCTCACATGGTTGGGTGCCTGTACTAGGATAATCCTGTGTCACAGGCGAGAATAGGTCTAACATAATTATAATTTTATTTCTATATACGCTCTTACATGCTAATTATTAATTAATACTTGACAATATTTTGACAAATAATATAAAGACTATATGATATACATAAACACATACCTCGCGCCTTATACTCCCGGAAGAGATAGGCAGAGGTGAAACAACTTAAGAGTAACATGACAATACACAAATAATTAAAATTAGGTACGTTTTAACTTAGACAAAAGGCATATTATTTATCACTATAGTCGAAAAATTACTTGCATCGGTAGATATATAAACTAGGTCAAAGTCCACGATCATACACTTGCTGCACAAATTACAATAAAGTGCTTAGACAGCAACTAGACGATGAGTAAGTCAACCTGTTTACATTACGCAATTGTAATATATTTAGATTAAGTTGTAGCGTTCTTAGTTTCTTACGTGTCGCCATAGTCCACCGAGTTTATGTACCTTTTTTCGGCCATAACTTTTGCAGGACATTCAGTAGCACCAGTCATGTGATTGTGGGGCTTCTTGAAGTAAACGCAAGTAGCACATTTCGGCTCATCTGATTTTTTTGGGCAATCTTTTATGGTATGACCTTGTTCGCCACAATGTCCGCAAGTAAAAGAGGTCTGTCGACATGATTTAGCAGCATGTCCGTACTGCTGGCACTTGAAGCACCTGGTCACCAGAGTGAAGTCGCGAACAGGGCATGATGTCCAATTTATAAAGACTCGGTCTTTGGATATTAGGGCTTTTCGAATTACTGCAGTTACTTCGACCACATAATTGCAGGTCTCAGCATCTCTCCTCCCTGATTTATGGCTTAACTTAGTTGTCTCCAAGAAAGCGTC